ACGGTAGAAATATGACAAATAACTATCTCTCTTATAGCCAACAATAATCCATATTAGCTTAATTAACATATGTCCAAATTATAATTATTAAAATAAATTCAATTTCAAGGATCCAAACAGGATCTTAGATGGTTAATACAGAAGGGATAATATGTGGGATAAGAGTGAGTAAGCCCTTTGGCTAGTTAGCACAACCAGCTAACAAGGGATAATACTTTATTGCTCGAGATTATACACGTCTCCAAAAGCTCTCTGAAACAACTCCCTCATTGTTTTTTTTTTTTTTAGAGAGGAAAACAATCATTCAACAGTTTTGTATCTTAATTCTCTAATAAATAATCACTTTGTAAATCTTTCCCTAAGAGCAAGTGCAACAATTGGCTTATAGCCAGGCTAGTCAATATTTTTACTGATGTGGAAGAGAGAATGAAGGAGAGAGAAGAGAGTTTAGCTCTCATGCAAGCAACAAGCTTGATACGGAAGCATAAAAGAGTAGTGGATCCCAATAAAGATGTATAAGAGGAGGAATATGAAAGAAAATGGAAACATATAATAATAAAGAAATTTTGTAGACAAATGGAAGGCTAACTATTGTATAGCTTTGCTCTTACAACTTGACTTATAGACAAATACTTGGCTCTATTATTAATCTTGTTTTGATAACTCACAAATATGTGTGTGCATTTCGCACTTCCATATTATGTGGGCTTTCCGTCCCTCCTCCGATATATTTTCTCGTCCTTTTCTGGTTTTCGAGTTTTAGATGCTAACCATAGAAAGCTGTTGGAAAAAGACAAAAATAGACTATTTCATTTTGTTAACTTGGCATATTCATTTATTTTCCAAGTGATTTTAAATAATTTCTTGAGGTTATCCTCTTAGTTAATTTTTTTGAGCAAAGTGTCATCCCTCTTTATTCATCAGGACAACTGTACAAATTTCATCGGGAGGAGTAACAAACCAAACATGTCTTCCTACCGAAAAGTTTACAGAACTCCTGGCTAAACAATGAGCATCAATATTGGAGCGTCTGCCTTCATGAACAAACTCCACTCTTGTGAAGCTTTTCGTCTGGTCTTGATTTCTAGTACTATTGGCCTGTACCTCCCCAAACCCACACCATGGATGCTTGCACTGCAGTGATCCTCTTAGTTAATTTTTAGACTACCTAATTTTTAGCTCTCGTTAAAACACTAGTCGTTCAAATTAGGTGCATTTCACACCTCCATATTGCGTGGGCTTTCTGTCCTCCAGATATTTTCTGCCCTTTCTGGTTTTCGAGTTTTAGATGCTAACCATAGAAAGCTGTTGGAAAAAAGACAAAAATAGACTATTTCATTTTGTTAACTTGGCATATTCATTTATTTTCCAAGTGATTTTAAATAATTTCTTGAGGTTGTCCTCTTAGTTAAATTTTTTTTGAGCAAAGTGTCACCCATCTTTATTCATCAGATAACTAGTACAAACTCCATCGGAGAAGCAACAAGCCAAACATATCTTCCTACCAAAAGTTTACAGAAGTTCTAGCTAAACAATAAGCATGAAGTGTCTGCCTTTATGAACAAACTCCGCTCTTATGAAGCTTTTCGTCAGTCTTGATTTCTAGTACGATTGGCCTGCATTCTCCCGAAACCTACACCATGAATGCTTGCACTGCATTGATCCTCTTAGTTAATTTTTAGCTACCTAATTTTTTAGCTCTCGCTAAAACACTAGTCGTTCAAATTAGGCCCATCCATGGTCCAACGAAGGTGATACGAGGCCCATACGCCAGTCCCATGCAGCTGCCTCTGTACCCTCGGTGGAAACCATAGGGAAAGGCCTAAATTAATTTTAGTTTCACAATGTATTTTTAAATCAAAATCTTCAATATCGTATATGGGCCCATACACCAGTTGTAGTCCATTCCCGCACCTAAATTAATTTAGTTTCAAGTTATTTTTATAAAATTCAAAATCTTCAATATTGATCGATTTATTGATATTTCTAAAGGGGTGTTTGGATCCGTAGCTAATAATTAGCCCATGTTTTTATACCACTTAGAACACCTAAATATGGGCTAATTTCGGACTAAAAAGAGCTAATGAGGGCCAATTTATGTTTAGAGTCCATTAGCCTTGTGTCGGGACCTAATACTGGGGTACCCAATGAGGTGGAATTAATAACCATCGGACATTGACGCTTCCGGTCAGACAAGAACGCTACTACACTTCTTGCCCGAACAACGGAAGATTGGTTCCGCCTCGCCCGGCCTCTGATGGCTAAGACTCCGCCTCGCCGACGCCTTTGAGGCTAGCTCACTTCCGCTCGGCCTTTGAGGGCTCGGCTCACGCCTCGCCTAACTTCGAGGCGGGCTCGCCTCGACGACGGTGAGGGCGTGCTTTGTCTCGCCTAACGCTAACGCTTATATCGGCTTCGCTCGCCTGCCGAGAGGCACAGCTTCGCCTCGCCCGACGGCTACACCCTGTTCCTTTATAAATACGAGCACAGGGTACGACAAGACGTTCGAGTCAACCGCAGTACGGAGGACCATGCCCTGCATGCCTGCAGAAAGGTAATGTCAGGATACGATGGGACGGGCGCTTTAGGCCCTTTTCGACCTGACAGAGCCCGAATAGTGTTGTAGGCGCCGCCATCAGCCCTCGAACGTGGATACTAACACGAGCATACGGCAACCACTATGATCCAAGATAGAGCTCACATCATCCACAGTGACGGACGTATGGTCACTTCCCCGCCTACTCCCCGAAGGGTCATAGCTCGGCTCTCTGGCACGCCGCACCATCCGCTGATGTAGGATGGGACGCACCCACTTGCTGAAAGAGGCCAGGGCACGGCCCTATGAGGATCAACGAACACGCCATTCCTGGCACAGTCTGCCATGTTAGCAGGGCAGGCACAGGGGAAAAGGAAGACCCGGCTCCCTCAAAGGACCTTCTCTACCTTTGGTTTTTTCCTCTTTCTCACGCCTGTAACCCCTGCTCCCTCCTTGGTCTATAAAAGGGAGGGCAGGGCACCCCACTAAGGGAACCAATCGTTCTTGACACACAAGACACATCCAAGCAGCAACCGAACTCTTGGCGTCCTTTTGACCTTTCCATCAGAGACTTGGGACCCGTCCCTCTCTCGACCGTTTGTACCCCCTACTACGAACCTTTTTCGGTACTAATAACACGAGCAGCAGCAAACTGGACGTAGGGACATTCTGTCCGAACCAGTATAAACCTTGTGTCATTTAGTACACCATCCGAGCCTAACGCGCAACAATTATAAATTTACTAGCCGATGTTTGTTCGAAACACCGACAGTTGGCGCGCCAGGTAGGAGCCTTTGCGTGTTCCAAATCGGGCCTTGGATGGCTAGCCACGCAATCAGTTGGGTCCTAGGCGCACACGTGCGTTTCGGTGATCTGGACTTCATCATCACGGTGGGAGGAGAGTTGGCGTTGGCCCACGTCGCCATCCAACCTCTCCCCTCCATCGCCTTCAGCTACGGGAGGCTTGAGCGCTAGCCCGGGCACGGCCGCCACCACCTGTGCCCGCGCCGCATTGCTTTGCCGGCGGCCGGGCTGGGCCTGCTCTTCCTCGCCGTCTCGCTCCTCTCCGTCTCACTCCTCTCCGTGCCGCCACTCGCCGACCCGCGCCCGGGCCTCGGCACCTCCTCCTCCTCATCATCCCGGCGGTTCCTCCGCCGCCATCCGGTATGGACGGACCCTAGCTCCTCGCCTTGGCAGCCTTGTCCGTGCTTCCTGATCTGATTGTTTCTCTGTCCATTGCTCTGTATGATCCTGCAGACAAACGGCTCCGGCGGCGAACTGGAGGTCTCCGAGAGCGGCGACGCGCTCAGTGTTCCGGTTAGATGGGAATTCATAACTTGTTGTTTATGGTTCGGTTTGTGCATAAATGAGTCGAATTTGGATAGATGTTTGTACTTATTTGTCCTTGTGGGCTTGAGCTCCGTGTCGCATCAGACCATATAGCATATTCTGTCTGTTCTAAAGCATAGGAAATGTTAGGTTGGACCTTTCATAGTTTCATGTATTAATAATAGCTGATCAGCCGGTTATATTTCGCTCAAAATGTAGACACATGGATGGACTGGGCAAGATGATCTTTGGCGTTCGAAGCTTGCTAGCAACTTCCACGGATGCAGCAACTCTAGCAGTAAATTTCTTGGTGAGTAGTAACTCTGCTGTGAATTACTGCTTATAATCTATACTTTCTTGTCATAACTGTTGGATGCTGTGTACTCTGACCTGTGTTGTATGTGTCAATGATGAATGACTATGTGCATCATTTTTCATTAGCATTATGATGGCTGATGTTTAACAACTATATCTACCTAAAGGTCTTTCCTTTTTTTTATTTGTTTTGGCAGATTCTGGTATTACCACACAACCAGATCGATACTTGATTGTTGTTACAAGTGGAGGTCTCAATCAGCAGAGAACAGGGGTGAGATGTTTCTCTGACTGTCTTCTTGTAAATGGATTGATATAATTAAAACACCTGAAGTAAACATGAATTCTTTTCTCCACATGTTGCACAATCTTTTTTATCTTATTACTCCAAACTAAGCTACACGTGGTGTATAACATATGTTGTCAGGACCTGTTCAAACAACCTGGGGTATCTAAATTTGTCAGCCTCGCCAGTTGATGTATAATACATGTGGTGTATAAAACTAAGCTAGTTTTCTCTGTAGACGTATCATGACCCCTGCTTCTTTCTAGATAGTTACTGTCTTCTTGTAAATGGATTGATATAATTAAAACACCTGAAGTAAACATGAATTCTTTTCTCCACATGTTGCACAATCTTTTTTATCTTATTACTCCAAACTAAGCTACACGTGGTGTATAACATATGTTGTCAGGACCTGTTCAAACAACCTGGGGTATCTAAATTTGTCAGCCTCGCCAATTGATGTATAATACATGTGGTGTATAAAACTAAGCTAGTTTTCTCTATAGACGTATCATGACCCCTGCTTCTTTCTAGATAGTTGATGCTGTAGTTGCTGCACGTATTTTGAACGCTACACTTGTTGTTCCCAGACTGGATCAAACATCTTTCTGGAAAGATTCAAGGTATGCAATAGTGACCAGTGAGCACTTCTCAAATTACAGCCAATGATCTTTTACCATTTATAGGTGTTCAGATTTAATTTATTCCACTTCTTTTGTATCCAATGCTGCAGTAATTTTTCAGAAATCTTTGATATGGACTGGTTCATCTCATTTCTTGAAAAGGATGTCAGAATTATCAAAGAGCCTCCAGAAAAAGGAGGTAAAACAATGAAACCTTATAAAATGCGTGTCCCCCGAAAATGTACTCCACGGTGTTACTTGAACCGCGTCTTACCAGCACTTCTGAAGAAACATGTAAGTTATGCTACCTACGGCTTAGCTGGCCGACATTTATTTATATGAAGTTAATCTTAGTCCTTTTCTACGTTATCATGATTGTTAGAATAGCGCCTATGGGCTGGCCATATGGGCCTCGGCGCCCACGCCTATTGGCTGGGCTGCCTCTAGGGATTGTATGGTAGATGATCACTGGAATAGGCAAGGATCTCCGTTGATTGGGTGTAGTCTATAAACCCTTCATGATCCTTGCCTATATATTGTACTCCCTGTACTCTCATCAATCTATCAACAGTTTTCCCGAGACCTATTCGCTCTCATGGTATCAGCCGCCTAGGTTTAGGTCTTTTTCTTCCGTTGCTCACTTGGGTGTAGTCTATAAACCCTCCATGATCCTTGCCTATGTATTGTACTCCCTGTACTCTCATCAATCTATCAACAGTTTTCCCGAGACCTATTCGCTCTCATGGTATTAGCCACCTAGGTTTAGGTCTTTTTCTTCCGCTGCCCACTCACCACGCGCCGACCCCTGCCATGCTGCGCCCGCGCGCCGGCCTCCCCTGCCGTGCTGCGCACCATGTCTCCCACCCCGCCGCCCTCCCCCAAGTCTAGGGAGCACGCCACCGACGAGGTCGCGGCCGATTCGCCAAGGAGAAGGCCAACAGCACGCCACCGCCGCCGCCCAACTCCTCGAGAAGGAGCGCCAGGCCGTGCTGGCACGCGCTCTCCAGGCCGAGGAGGAGGCCGCGGCCGCCGCCAAGGACCACGACGCGGCTGCTGCCCGCGCCAGAGAAGCCCTGGTTCCGCTCCACCAAGGAGCGCGCGGCCGCCGCGGCCCCTGCTACACCTGGTGGCGCCTCTTTCAGCGCCTCTTCGGTGCCCCCTCCCGACCTCGCCTCGGCCATGCTCCTTCACGAGGCCCTCGCGCTGCTGAACCTGCACGCCCAGGCCGTCGCCGTCAACAACATCCGGACCCTCGTCCCCATCGTCCTCGACGTCGACTCCGGCAACTTTAGTCGCTGGCGCGACCAGTTCCTGCTCATCTTCGGCAAATTTTCTCTCCAGGATCACGTCTGCCTTGCCCCTCTTGATCCCGTCTCCCCCGACTGGGCTCGGATGGACTGCGTGGTCAAGTCCTGGATCGTCGGGACTCTCACCGATGACCTTGCCGAGATCAGCTCCGCCCAGGGTTCCACCGCCCGTGATGCCTGGCTCGCCGTCGAATCCCAGTTCCTCGGCAATTGGGAGGCACGTGCCATCCACCTGGAGACAAAGTTTCGCAACTTCGTTCAAGGTGACCTCTCAGTCACCGACTACTGCCGGCGCCTCAAGATGACCGATGATCTCACTGCCGTTGGCAAGGTGATCACCGACCGCACCCTCATCCTCAACGTGATCCGCAGCCTCAACAAGCGCTTCAGCCACGTCGGGGCCCTTCTTCGCCGCAGCCGGCCCTTCCCCACCTTCCTGGAGGCTCGTGATGACCTCATCCTCGAGGAACTCACCTTGGAAAACAAGAAGTAGCCTCCTGCCACTGCGCTCGCTGCCTCCACCGCATCGAGCTCTCCTAGCGCCGCCTCACCGACGTCCAGTACGGGCTCCGGGGGCGCTGGCGGCTCCAAGTCCTCCAACAACAATCGCCGCAGCAAGCGCGGCGGCGGTGGCAAGGGGGGTTCTGGTGGTGGCAGTACTGGAGGCCAGGCCCAGCGCCCTCCCACCGGCACGTAGCAGCAGCAGCCTACCGGTGCCCATCAGCCTGTCGCCGGCGGTCGGCCCTGGCCCACCGTCTACAACCCCTGGATGGGCTCCATTCAGATGTGGCCAGAGGGTCCCCGCCCTCCGCCGGCACCCATCCCGGTGCCTCCCTCGGCAAGAAGCGCAGAGCAGCGCAAAGAAGAGTCCTCTTCGCCCAAAGAAGAAGAGCACTTTGTCGCCCACCAAGAGAAGCTCATTTTGTCGTCGCGCTCCTCGATGGCTCGGACAAGGGTCGCCTGGGTACTACAACCCTGTGGCCGGCCTCCCTTCTTGGGACCCGACGACCCTCGCCTCCGCCTTCAGCACGACGTCGCTGACCCCTCCTTCGTCCAACGAGTGGTACTTCGACTCAGGTGCTACTTCACATATGACATCTCAGTCCTGTCTTTCACATGTTCTCTTCTCGCGGTATCCTACTCCTTCATCTATTATTGTCGGTAATGTTTCTATTCTTCCTGTTACTGCCACTGGCTCCACAGAGTTGTCTCCTACTTTACGTCTTAATAATGTCCTTGTGTCCCCATAAATTATTAAGAATCTCATCTCTGTTCGTCAATTTACTATCGACAATAATTGTTCTATTGAGTTTGACCCCGCTAGTTGTTCTTTGAAGGTTCTTCCATCTCGGACCGAGATCGTCAGGTGCAATAGCTCCGGGCCGCTATATTCACTGCGCCTACCTCCAGCACACTCCCTTGTCGCCTAGGCTCCCTCCCCGCTGTGGCATCGGCGTCTCGGCCACCCCGGTCATGAGGCGTTGTCGAAGCTTGCGTCTAGTGTTTCATGTCAAATTCAGGATTGTTCAGATTTATGTCATGCTTGTCAGTTAGGGCGTCATGTTCGTCTGCCCTTTCATGCGTCCACCTCTCGTGCGTCTAGCAAGTTTGATCTTATTCATTGTGACTTGTGGACCTCTCCAGTTAGTGTTTCCGGTTACAAATATTATTTGGTTATACTTGATGATTGCACTCACTACTTGTGGACTTTTCCTTTGCGACTTAAATCTGACACTTTCAGCACGCTTGCTCACTTCATCGCCCACGCCTCCACCCAATTTGGCGCCCGCGTCAAGGCTGTCCAGTGCGATAACGGGAAAGAGTTTGACAACTCTAGGACCCGTCACTTCTTCCTCACCCAGGGCATCCATCTTCGTATGTCTTGCCCCTACACCTCGCCTCAAAACGGTAAAGCTGAACGCATTATTCGCTCCATCAATAATGTCGTTCGCTCACTGCTCTTTTAGGCGTCTATGCCTCCCTCCTACTGGGTGGAGGCCCTCTCCACGGCGACTTTCCTGCTTAACATATTGCCCACCAAGACTCTATAGTTCTCCATGCCCCACCTTGCCCTGTTCGGCACGCCGCCGGCGTATGATCACCTACGAGTCTTCGGCAACAAGTGTTATCCAAACATGTCCGCCACGGCTCCACATAAGCTCGCTCCTAGATCTGTCTTGTGTGTCTTCCTAAGCTATTCCGCTCACCACAAAGGATAATGCTGCCTTGACCTCTTCTCCAATAGAGTCATCATCTCCCGGCACGTCATCTTCGATGAAACGACCTTCCCCTTTGCTGACCGCAATGGTCCTAGTATTCCGGCGGACTTTGAGTTTCTTGGTGCTACTGATGTTGTGCCCGCTCCTATTGGACCGTCGCACAAGTTTTTGTCTGCAGGAGCACCACCCAGCACCTCCGGTGCCACCAGCGCCCCTGCCGGTCCCTCTGAGGCTGTGCCTGGGGCGCCCCTGACGACTCCAGCGCCTGCTGATGATCCCCCGGCACCCGCGCTCTACATCCCGCCTGCGCTGCGCACGTTGGGGACCCCTACCGCGCCACGCGCGGTCACCAGCACCGCCTCTCTCGCGCCTCGCGCGGCTCAGGACGCGCCCAACACACCTGGAGGCGCCCTACCTCGTCAGCTGTACGTCCCGCCTGCGCTTCGCGCGGCCTCGACGTCTCCAGCACCGACCGCGGGCTCCCCAGCGCCGGTGTCGCCTCCTTAGGCGCCCCGCGGGCCCCCACCTGGGTTCCCGCCTCTTCGTCCAGAACGCGACTTCACCTACCACTACACACACCGGCCTCGACCATCGCCTACTCCGAATTCGCCTGCCCCAGCCGCTCCGGCTGTGCCTGCACCAGCCGCGCCGCTTCCACTGCCCAAGGGTGTTGTTGTTGTCCTTCTTGTGACCAACCAGCCCGCCATGGGCACACGTTCGAAGAGCGGCTACCGGATGCCTGCTGTGTTCCATGCTGCGCCTCTTTCACCGGTGCCGAAGACCTTCCGTAGCGCTCTTGCGGACCCCAATTGGCGAGCGGCTATGGAAGAGGAACACAGTGCCCTGTTGAAGAACCACACTTGGGATCTCGTGCCTCGCCCCCCTCGGGCCAACGTCGTCACTGGCAAGTGGATCTTCAAGCACAAGTTTCAATCTGATGGCTCCCTCGAGAGGTCCGCGGCTTTACCCAACGGCCTGGTGTGGACTTTGATGTGACGTTCAGTCCCGTCGTGAAGCCTGCTACCGTTCGCACGGTGCTTTCCCTGGCTCTCTCTCGCCGCTGGCCCATCCACCAGCTCGATGTGAAGAATGCCTTTCTTCATGGCAACCTGACAGAGACAGTGTATTGTCAGCAGCCGTCTGGGTTCGAAGATCCAGCTCATCCGGATTTTGTCTATCACCTGAAGAAGTCACTATATGGCCTCAAGCAGGCCCCTCGTGCTTGGTACAGTCGGATGGCTACATACTTGCTGTCTCTTGGGTTTGTTGAAGCCAAGTCAGACACCTCACTTTTTGTTTACCGGCGCGGATCAGACACAACCTACCTGTTGCTCTATGTTGATGACATTGTCCTCACAGCTTCCTCACCTGGTCTCCTCCGGAGGATCATATTAGCTCTTCAGAAGGAGTTCGCCATGAAAGACCTTGGTGAATTGCATCACTTCCTCGGAATGCATGTTCAGCGAAGTGGTGATGGACTTCTTTCTCAGCGGCAGTATATGCTGGACATTCTTGATTGCGCCGGGATGGCAAAGTGCAAGCCGTGCTCCACTCCGGTTGACACTAATCCGAAGGTTGCTGCAGCCGATGGCGCCCCTATGTTTGATGCTACAGATTTTCGCAGTCTCGCTGGAGCCCTACAGTACTTGACGTTCACCCGGCCGGATATTGCATATGCCGTTCAGCAGGTCTGTCTTCATATGCACGACCCCCGTGAGCCTCACCTTGCTGCTCTGAAGCGGATTCTTCGCTATGTTCGAGGCACTCTCCACCTTGGTCTCCTGCTGCGACCGTCTACTTCGACTGATCTTGTTATCTACACTGACGCTGATTGGGCTGGTTGTCCGGACACACGCAAGTCCACCTCGGGCTATGCTGTGTTTCTTGGCGACAATCTCATCTCTTGGTCCTCCAGAACACGGTGTCAAGATCCAGCACTAGAGCCGAGTATCGCGCGGTGGCCAATGGAGTTGCTGAGGCCACCTGGCTGCGCCAGCTTCTTCTGGAGCTGCATGCTCCTCTCCGTCGCGCCACACTGGTGTACTGCGACAACATCAGTGCCGTCTACATGACCTCCAACCCAATTCAGCATCAACGAACCAAGCACATTGAGATCGATCTTCACTTTGTCCGGGAGCGAGTTGCCATTGGTGACCTTCGTGTTCTGCATGTTCCGACCTCTTCACAATATGCAGACATCTTCACTAAGGGCCTTCCCTCCTCAGTGTTCACGGAGTTTAGGTCCAGTCTGAACGTGCAGAGTGGCTGACAATCCGATTGCGGGGGCGTGTTAGAATAGCGCCTATGGGCTGGCCATATGGGCCTCGGCACCCATGCCTGTTGGCTGGGCTGCCTCTAGGGATTGTATGGTAGATGATCACTGGAATAGGCAAGGATCTCCGTTGATTGGGTATAGTCTATAAACCCTTCATGATCCTTGCCTATATATTGTACTCCCTGTACTCTCATCAATCTATCAACAGTTTTCTCGAGACCTATTCGCTCTCAATGACTATACTAGATTTTATTATGCTTTTTCATATATCACTAAATAAATTTACTGACCAGTTAATCTTAGTCCTTTTGAGGGCGATTTTTCAATAATGATTTGCTTCTTGTGTTTTTATGTAACTTATTTGCACACTTCGTTATTTTGTGCTTCTATGTGTAGTTTTATTTAAAAAACATAGAAGCATAAAATAATGAAATTTGATTTTTCTTTTATGCCTCTATGTGTAGTTTTGATTTAGGAACTGGGCCTCAGCTCAGTTGGTAGGAGGTGTGGATGCACACCCCCACCACCCAAGTTTGAGTCCTCTTCGACTTGAATTTGGGTGGCCATTTCTTTTCTTATTTATAATGCCTCCTAGTCCTCTTCTACTAATTTTTGTGGCTGAGATTATGGGAGATATTTGATTTCATAACAATCCAGTCACATAGCTCATTTTAATTCCTGGTGGTGCAGGTTATTCGAATGACTAAATATGATTATAGGCTCTCAAATAAGTTGGACACTGACCTCCAAAAACTACGTTGCAGAGTCAATTACCATGCTCTGAGATTTACTGACCCGATACAAGAATTGGCTGAAAAGCTAATACAACGAATGCGAGAAAAGAGCAGATATTTTATTGCTCTTCACCTAAGGTTGCTTCATCCTGTAACATTAATTGAACCTTTTGTCAGACTTCATTTATCATTTTGTTCAAATTTTACCTGTTTCAGCTCACTCAGTAGCAAGTACATGAATGTAGACTACTTTGGACCTCTGATCTATCAATAGTGGGTGGTGCATATGTTCCTCGGCAGAAAACCTTATACTATTAATAATGATTAACCAAAGCTGTAGTCTGAATAATGACGATGATTTTTCACTTCTTTGGCCATTGAATTGTCTCAAACTTTTCTCTTAGAGCTTCTTTGTTTCACCATCTCCAGAATATTTCCTTCTGTTCTGTTTGTGTACTATAAGAAAATGAATTAATGAAAGATGGTTGGTAAAATATATAAAAAGAGGAAATATATCTTATTACTTCCCCATTACTGTTCCGTACAACATTAGCTCGTTTTGTTTTCTTGACCAAAACATGATTGTTATTCTGATGGCAGATTTGAACCTGACATGCTCGCTTTTTCTGGGTGCTATTATGGTGGTGGAGAAAAGGAGAGGAGAGAATTAGCTGCAATTCGCAAACGATGGAGAACCTTGCATGTACGAGTTGTGTGATGTGTAGTCGTTACTCACTTACTGAGATAGAATTACCTTTTGCTAATCTTGTTACGTTTTCATATTCCAGATACGTGACCCGGAGAAAGGAAGAAGGCAAGGTAGGTGTCCACTAACTCCTGAGGAGGTAGGGTTGATGTTGAGGGCATTAGGCTACAGAAGTGATGTGCACATTTATGTTGCTTCTGGTGAGATATATGGAGGCGAAGATACTTTAGCATCCCTCAAAGCACTGTTTCCTAATTTCCATACAAAAGAAACACTGTCAAGCCAAGAGGAGCTTGCTCCATTCCTGAAGTTCTCATCTCGCATGGCTGCAATCGATTTCATTGTCTGTGATGAAAGTGATGCTTTTGTAGCTAACAACATTGGTAACATGGCCAAAATTTTGGCTGGCCAAAGGTAATGCATCTTTTGAAACTGCTCTTATGTTTATCTGCTGTTAACTCCACACCCCCTCCCCCCCCCCCCCCCCCCCCCTTTTTTTACTTATTGTAATCCATTCTTGTTCCTGATCATCTGTACCTGTGCTCTCTGCAGGAGATATTTTGGCCACAAGAGAACAATCCGGCCAAATGCTAAACAGCTCTATCCATTATTCATGAAGAGGGGAAATATGTCATGGGATGCATTTGCCTCACAGGTGCGAACAGTCCAGAAAGGATATATGGGAGAGCCCATGGAAATCACACCAGGAAGGGGTGAATTTCTTGCCAACCCTGCGGCCTGTATATGTGAAAAGACTGGCAGAAACTCAGTAGTAGTCAAGTCCATTTCTGGAAGTAGCCAGGAACCTGTAACTGACTCCGGAATAAGGAAGGCCATTGGCATTGGTAGGCCACCATATCCTGTTTATACTGACGAAGAGGCAGATGGTTCTGATACAGAAGAAGATCCAGATAGCAGCGGGAGAGGAGAGATGATTGACACTGAACCTGACGATGATTCTGTGGTCAGACAGGAGGATCCTGAGCTTGAGGAGATCCTGTCAGATTAGTTCAGCTGTGCGGCTATTTCCTCTGGTTAAGCTATGCAAATCTGACTTTGCATATGCATGTGTTGTATGTGGTGGCAATTTTATGGTTTGGACATCTCCGAACTAGCTTAGATCTGCAGCCGCTGGTGTACATAGATTTTGTGGTGTGCAGCTGTCCATCCTCTTTCACCTAGCTGAATGAGGGCATGATCGTGTTTGTCATCTCGGCAAGCCAGATTTTCCCTCCTTTCAGTAACATCCCTGATCTCGCCATTGCTCATCCCTCATGGAAATGTGTATGTCCTGAATAATTTTCTTAACCTTTTTTTTTTGTAAGCCAGATTTCTTGGCATCGTTTTTTACAGTTGCTGTTGTTTTGTGCTGGACCTTGTTGACACATCTCAATCTAACATTGTCTAATCTTTGTCAGAAGAAAGTATTTTTCACTGACATCAGGGTTTTATTGATCGCATTCTGCTTGAATAGCAGAGACAATGTTTCGGTCTTTCTGCAATGTTGGGAAGTTGGCGTGATGCATGAATAATGTGATAAATGCATGTTTTTTTTTCGAATCACAGAACAAACACAGAAGATTACATATGTGCACACGCGCTCACAACACATGCATATAAGCTAAGTCTATGAGCTTCTCCGACATGTCTGAGGAAGCACCTATGTTAAGTCAAGGAATTAAATTTGAGCTGGCAAGTCTCATCACAAGGAATCCAACAAGTTAAGCTAGTTTCAATTTGCGTGTGGTATTGTATGCTTGTCAACTTTTGTATGTGTCGTCCGATCCATGAACGGACTGTCCAGTTTAGGCCAGGCCTGGTCACCTGAAGGCTGAAGCATTTGCGTAGACACTTCCACCACGTCCACCGTCCAGGACCAGGCCTGGCAAGCAGGGCTCGATCCAAATCCAGTCCCCTCGGACTCGGGGAATCCTAGATTGGATCCTGATCCTGAATTCCTGATGCCTCGTCGCCGCCCGTCACGTGCACATTCTCCTTCTTCCAAGCGGTTACTGTCACTGGGATTCTGGGAAGATAAGAGGTGGTAACTGCCTAACTGGTAGCCGGCAGGTGCAGTGCAAAATGCGTCCAGGAGTAATCCGATTTTCGAGTTTGTTTTGTGGTTTCTGAAAAAGGGTAGGAGTACGTATTTGTTCGAAACGATGATGGGGTAATTGCAATGTGAAACAGACGAGAGTTAGTAACGTTTTCCTCTGTAACTGTAACAGGTAGTATATATAATTTTTTTTTAAAAAAAAAACAAGAGAGTTGCTTCTCCGATGCCATTCACCACCTTGAGCATTGGACGGCCCATATGATATGGCCCGGAATGTTTGCCCGACAAGCAGCTTCAATCCAGTTCCTGGGAGGACGTGTTGGAGCTCACCTGTCGAGTGTGGGAGTTCGCTTGTTTTCAGGCCGTGTGTCCTGTCCTGATGATCCGCTGCAGCTTTGAAAACTGACGCAGCGCTGTTGACCCCCGACCCCAACGGTTCCAGGGTTCAGGAGCCATGGACGGCCGCACTGGATTCTGTCAGGAACTGGACATGTTTCACGGCACTGGAGCTGGAGCTCGGGCTCCGCAAAACCTCGGTCCGCAGCGGACAAAGTTCGTGCAGAAAACAGTAGGATAACTGATGAAACTAGAGGCAGAAACTCCAGGAACAAACGAACGCCAACACCGCGATCTCGTGAACTCACAAACCAACAAGACCGGCGCGGCGTCCTCTGGCAACTGGCAACTGGCATGACAGCGCACAATCACGCTGCCGATGCCGTGAGCATGGCACCCTCTCTGTTCTGTGGGACGGGAGCAGGCGCACGGACGTCGGACAAAAGGGCACCGCGCCCACTTCCGGCGACCGGCCGGGCGCGCCGGCCAGAGGACAGATGGGATCGCCGTCCCTTTGCTACTGGGCGGCAGGCTTTCACCGCCGAGGAACGAAGATGCGAACCGCGTGTCGCATTACCGGCTTGACGCTGCCGCCCCACTCGGACTCGGGCACTCCGACAAACCACGCACCAGCACGGCGAGCACGCAGATTTTTACCACCCCCCACCGCCCACCCCTGCACCAGCGTGGTGAACGATCAGGGATGGCCAAACGGCCACCAGATCCTCCGCGCGGTCGAAGCGATTCCCATTTCCTAGCAGGCAGCAGCGCACGCAGACACGCTCACGCCGAGCCAGCAAGCTTCAACCGTCTGCACGTCATGTCAAGCTACGATGCCACCGCGCACAGAGAATCCCCACAAGCTGCTGCAGCCTGCAGGCGAGTGAACCAGCTGCCAGCGCCCACGCTTGTTCTGTCCTCTCCCTCAACCCCACCCCACCCACTCACTGTGCACACACCACTAGGCTGACGCTGTCATCTCCCCCGGTGCCCTTTTTTTTACCGAAAAGACGGTGGGGCCCCACAATGACCAACTTTTTAATTTAATTAATTTAAAATAGAAGAGAGGATCTTATATACAAATCTAACTTAGGCCTTGTTTAGATGGCTAAGGGCCTGTATGGTTTTTATAAGTCAAGGTGAGTTATTAAGTCAGGTGACTGAAAATCAGTGACTTATAAGTCATGCCTGTTTGGTTGTAGATGACTTATAAGCTCATTAAAGGTGTGAACCCCACGTGGAAAAGGGTGACTTATAAGTTTTAAGAATGGGTGAACTAACTTAAAACTTATAAGCAGGGATGACTTATAAGTTGGTGGTGTTTAGCAAAATAAGTCACTTATTTTACTTTTTAACTTATAAGTAGGCGACTTATTTAGAACCAAACATGCCCTAAATTTTAGAAATTAGGCTACTGTAGCACTTTCGTTTTTATTTGATAATTAGTATTTAATCATGGACTACTTAGGCTCAAAACGTTCGTCTCGCAATTTCCAACCAAACTGTGCAATTAGTTTTTTTCGTCTACATTTAATGCTTCATACACGTATCGCAAGATTCGATGTGATGACTACTGTAGCACTTTTGGGGAAAAGTTTTTGGAACTAAACAAGGCCTTAAAAGCATCAAGCCAAACATAGAAGGTTGACCTAAGATCATCCTTAAAACGAATAGACTGAAGTTTATATTGGTTCTTGAAATTCGATAACCAAATACTAGGGGTTGGGTCTCTTCTCTGGAAGATCTTGTCATTGCGTACTTTTTATAGCTCTCAAGCTACTTTCAGAGTTGCTTTTTGTGAAGAAAGGTATGTTGTGGGTGTCTCGAGCTTGGGTGTACCTGTCCAGCAGAGGTAGTGATGTGTCCCAGTTGATATGTATAGTCGCCCAGTATTCTTTTGCAAACGTGCATTCAAAGAACAGATGGTCGATAGTCTCCTCTTCTCCGCTGTCACATATGACGTATATATCAGTGCTCTGGACGTCGACATGTCTTCTACGCAGCATAGTCTTGATGTTGAGGCGATCTACCAGAACCAGCCAAGCAAAGAATTTGACACGTGAGGTGCATCTAGACTTCCAAATGATCTTGAAGATCATAAGTGCATCCATATTCTTAATTACTGAGAATAGAAAAGTCGTGAGGTATATGTGTTGCCCTAAACATAAATCCATCAATCCACTGCATCTTCATCATACGCTATATCTTGCAACCGAGCTTGTAGAGTTTCGAGCTCTTGGAAAGCCTGCTGTGATAGAGGTAGTAGGAACAAGCTGTCAAGATCGACGGCCACCATGATTTCCAGCACCGATGCACCCCCTTTCTAGCAAAAGAGTTATATGTTTGAGCTAGCACCCAATCTGTCCATCTCGCCCGGTGCCTTTTACGCGCGATCCGAGCCGTACAGGGAGCGGTGGACGGCATGGATCCCTCGTCCACCTCAGCTTTGACCGCGGGGCAATGGAGAGAGAGAGACCACAAACCATGCCCACCGCCCAGCTCGCTGCTGTACACTGCCCCACCGTCCTCTACCTCCGCGCCAATGCGTCTCCCCAACATTTAAACGGCCAAACCAGCCCAAAACCCCAACCCCACAACAGTAACACGGGCACACTAGCTTAAGCTAAACCTCGCTGTGGCAGCAATGGCGCCGCTCCCCGCCGCCTCCCTCCTGCTCTTCCTCTGCCTCCTCGCCGCGCCGTGCCCCGCGGCGCGCGCGGCGCGGTTCGCCTGCAACGCCACGGCGCCACGAGCGTCCACGTGCCAGGCGCTCATCTCCTACGCGCCGCCCAACGGGACGGCCACGCCCACGCTCGCAGCCGTGCGCGCGCTCTTCCAGCTCCGCTCCCACCGCGGGCTGCTGGCCGCCAACGGCCTCCCGCTCTCCACGCCGCCCACGGCGCCGGCCCCCGCGCCGCTGCGGGTCCGCCTGCCCTGCCTCTGCTCGGGCGGCGCCGGGGCCACGTTCCAGCGGCCCACGTACCGGGTCCGCGCCGGGGACACGCTCGACGCCGTCGCGCGGGGCGTCTTCGCGGGCCTCGTCACCTACCAGGACATCGCCGCCGCCAACAACGTCTCCGACCCTAACAGGGTCGCCGTCGGACAGCAGCTCTGGATCCCCGTGCCCTGCAGCTGCGACCCCGTGGCCGGCCAGCCCGTCGTGCACTTCACCTACGTCGTGCCCACGGGGAGCTCCGTGGCCAGCATCGCGCAGGAGTTCAGCACCACGGAGGAGACGATTCTCGCGGTCAACAAGATGCCCGACGCCAAGGCCCTTATCGCCGGCCAGGTTCTTGACGTGCCACTCCGAGGTAGCCCTCCCTTTACTTTTTTTTAGCAGCTCGTGTGTTCTTGATCTATTCGACTTGTTTAGGTAGATTCCTTGAGCTCAAAAGAAAGTAGATCCACTTTCAATGATTTTGAGCAGCTCGTGTTGTTACTGTTGCTGCTTACACATGGACCCTGAAAAGTTCTGAACCTCTTTGTATTTGTATCTTTATTGCTGGTAAAAGCTGTGATTAAACATAGACATGCTTTGCCGTTAGGCGAATGCAAAGCCTCTCTCTTTTTGCTCCCCCATTGTACGCCTAAAAATGTTCAGGAGTTCTTTTCAGATT